GTGTGTGTGTGTGTGTGTGTGTGTGTGTGTGTGTGTGTGTGTGTGTGTGTGTGTGTGTGTGTGTGTGTGTGTGTGTGTGTGTGTGTGTGTGTGTGTGTGTGTGTGTGTGTGTGTGTGTGTGTGTGTGTGTGTGTGTGTGTGTGTGTGTGTGTGTGTGTGTGTGTGTGTGTGTGTGTGTGTGTGTGTGTGTGTGTGTGTGTGTGTGTGTGTGTGTGTGTGTGTGTGTGTGTGTGTGTGTGTGTGTGTGTGTGTGTGTGTGTGTGTGTGTGTGTGTGTGTGTGTGTGTGTGTGTGTGTGTGTGTGTGTGTGTGTGTGTGTGTGTGTGTGTGTGTGTGTGTGTGTGTGTGTGTGTGTGTGTGTGTGTGTGTGTGTGTGTGTGTGTGTGTGTGTGTGTGTGNGGTGGGTGTGTGTGGTGTGTGTGGTGTGTGTGGTGTGTGTGTGGGTGCGTGTGTGTGGGTGCGCGTGTGTGTGGGTGCGCGTGTGTGTGGGTGCGCGTGTGTGTGGGTGCGCGTGTGTGGGTGCGCGTGTGTGTGGTGGTGCGCGCGTGTGAGTGGTGGTGCGCGTGTGTGTGTGTGTGTGTGTGTGTGTGCGCGCGCGCGCGCGTGCGGTGTGTGTGTGCGCGCGCGCGCGCGTGCGGTGTGTGTGTACGCGCGCCCGCGCGCGTGCTGTGTGTGCGTGCGGTGTGTGTGCGTGTGTGGTGTGTGTATGTGGTGTGTGTGTGTGTATGTGGTGTGTGTGTATGTGGTGTGTGTATGTGGTGTGTGTGGTGTGTGTGTGGTGTGTGTGTGGTGTGTGTGTGGTGTGTGTGTGGTGTGTGTGGTGTGGTGTGTGTGTGGTGTGTGTGGTGGGTGTGTGTGCGTGCGTGTGTATGTGTGGGCATAAATGTTTTAAAAATAGCTCTTAAGAACTGTAAAGTGGGTCCTTGTAACTTTCTTCGGCGATTTAACCTTTGTTGTAAATAACTCTAATTCGCCGTATGTATGTATCCATATCGAAAAATTATGTAACATGTGGTATATCTTATAGAACACTCATTAAGAATTGGCAGGTACAATGATTTAAAGATCAAACTGAAACTACAGTCAACCTACAAAATCAGTGACTACTAGCACTTTGTGAAGTATTGTAGTATGAATGGCAAGTTAATGTAGACATTTTAAAAAAAAATTGTACCCAAACCGCTCACTTAATCAAAATTCTATAAGAGGACCAAAAATTTCCAAATGGTATAACTTATCAAATAAAAAATAGTTGTCATTATTGGCCGAAAGAGGAAAAGTTATGAACGGATATTTCCACCATACATCAATTTTGTAGGAGTCGTAAGTTTTAAAAACACTGTATAACACCAAAATTTGTAGATTGAAAGCAAAATTCCACATCCCAAAAATAATCAAAATCGATTAGTACATATTCGTTATTTACAAAAGTCAAAAAATGTTCACAAACTTTGAGGCCATCTAGCGGTCAAATGAAACGATTTCGGACATAGGGAATTAGCCTAAATCTGCCTATTTTGAGTCTACGAATCTGTGGTCTTCCGTTGCACACGTTATTCTGGGACACCCTGTATATATAGCGGGTGATTCAGTTTGATATTCGAGGCCTAGTATCTCTTTTATTTTTTTGTGTTCAGCTATAATAAGGAAGTCAATAGTTTCATTAGAAATATTGCTAGAAAAACAGCAAAAAAGATGAACCCTACTTTCAGCAGATTTATTCTGAAAAATGATAGCCAGCTGCGGAAACAAATGAATCCAGAAGCACTCTTCCGAAAAATCAATTTTGCTATGAAACTATAAGAGTTAGGAACAAAGTTAATGTACACTTTTTGTCAATAACAAACTGTTCTATCTAAAAACAACATCATTTTTTATTTTCAGTAGGGCCGTATTAATTTTTTTATAATTTAATGAGTCTGAGTCCCCATAACTCCGTCACTGGTTGCTTGTGGGGCTTCTCCTTCTATTGAAAAATGGTATCTTATAAGATGTGTCATGCCAAATTTGGCTTAAATAGCCTTCATTTAGAAGTTATTTAAAAAATACGAATTTTTTAAAAAAATTTTAACGCCCTATATTTCGAAAATGAAGCGCCTGGAAAAAAATTATACTTGATTTTTTTCTTATTTTTTTATGAGGAATATCTTAAAGTTTGGCGATTTAATCCTGAAACACCCTGTATATATACAGGGTGTTCCAAAAGTGACGCCCGGCCTTCTGGGTTTTGATTAAGAGGACAAAAACAAATCGAAAATCAAGTGGAAAATTTTCCGATTGTTTTTCTTTGTTGAGTAATTCAAAAAAATTATTCAAAAAACTAAAAATAAACATTTGGGCTGGGTTATTAAATAATTATGTAGTTCAGAGCTGTATTTGCTGCAGCCATTGCTGGATGACGTGTTAGCAGTTAGACTAAATTATTGGTTTCAACATGATGGAGCTTCCATCACATTACGGTGTACGAGTATGAAATTATCTGAATCGAAACTTCCCAGACAAATGGATCAGAAGAGGTGGACCATGGTCTCGTATATCACCAGATCTGAATCCCCTTCTTTTGGGATTATTTAAAAGAAAATATTTACAGCGAACCTGTTGTAAATCCAGAAAATGTATAAGCCCGTATATACGCTGCTGTCGCGTTAATAGACCAAGAGATGTTACAAAGAGTTCATGCTTCAATGTTGAATCTTGATAATCTTTGTCTTGAAGTAGAAAGCAACTTATTTGAACAGCTTTTGTAAAAACAATTTCTATTATTTAAGCACATTATGGTTTTAGTTTATAAGTTTTTTCGTCTCCATTTTATAAAACTGTTTTATTATTAAAATGTTTTTCTCTATCCTTTTCAGGTTAAAATAATTCCTTACACCCAGGTACAACCGACAATCGGAAACTATACTTGCCTACTATTAGTTATAAATTATTTGTCTTTGAGATAAAAAATGGATTTTAATTTTTTTAGTTTTTTGAATAATTTTTTCAATAACTCAAGAAAGAAAAACAATCGGAAAATTTTCCACTCTTGATTTTCAATTCCTTTTTGTCTCCTTATTCAAATCTCAGAAGGACGGGCGTCACTTTTGGGACACCCGTATACAGGGTGTTTATTAATTGAATGCCGATACTTATGGGTGTGAATCCTTGGGTCATTTTAAGAAGAAAACTTAATATCAATATATGTCCTAAACCTCTTAATTTTTGAGCTACAGGGTGTTGCAGTTTTAAGAAAAAAATTACTGTTTTATTATAATTTTCTTATCACTCCAGATATTTTTATGAACTTTTATACACACCTATTAATCATTAAGGAGCATTGTTTGATGTAAAAAATGTTTTAAAATCTTTGCCAATGACGTCGGTACGAGGTTTGAACTAAACATTTTTGAAGAAAAAAATGGTACGCCACTGCTTTTTCTAAAAACTAAAATTATTTTTAAAATCTCCATTTATTTTACAGCAAATTCGGTCCCTAGACTTACTCTCGTACGACGCACCATTTGCACGTAAAAAAATGAAAACCAAAAAAAGTTTTTTTCCCCAAGTTCATTGAGACTGCTTTTGATATTTTGTTGCCATTTTGTAGACACCCACCATGCGTGGAAACACTTTTTGTGGGGCAAAATTAATTTTCTACTTTCACAAATGACGTTCACGTAGGCATAATATTAAATGTTTGGATAGAAGAAACGGTAAACTCATTAAATGCCCCCTTAAAGCAAATGAAATAAAAATTAGTAGGCTGGGTAAAGTGTCATAATTTTGTACGCTTCTTTTCGTAATAAAGTTGACATTGATTTTTCATTATTAAAAAATTATTAGAGTAGGAGGTAAAATCTCATAAAACATGGTAAATTTTATTATCGGTGAATTAGCTGACATGCATTTTACTTATGGGGTTGCCGACGGATTCATAGACGTCTTCACGAAACCGCAAATTTAAAAGTAGACCACAGTGCTAAAGGAGTCCCTGAAACAGTAAGAACACCGGAACTTGAAGAAGGAATTTTACATGAAATTGAGGAGAACCCCGAAACTAGCACGAGGAAAATCGCGGCAACATAATGTTTCACACGTACTTGTTTGGAAAATTCTTATCGAAAATTTGTTATATCCATATTGTTGAGCCGAACCAAGTAGGCCCTAATGTGTCACTATGTAAATAAATAAAATAAGTTAAAAAAAATAGATATATAACGTCTTGTCAAGTTGTGTATGTATCATTCATCCAACAAATATACCAATTCTAAAAAAGTTACAGTCCACTTATTCATCAACCACAACATTGTTGGTTCTTCGAGCCGGATTAACACAAGAAATCGTCAATTCATAAGCAACAAGACATAAAGAAGTGCGAAGGGGACACAGCAGTCAAGCCGATCCTTCACGCAAAAAGGTATAACACACCGCATCGAGTCGAGAGGAAAGGAGCAGATAAATCAATCCAACTCGCAACATTGACGGCATAAATACGCACGTAGGCCATCCATTTTCCATTATTTGTTTCATTAAAGTTCCTAATCCTGCAGGTACTTGCTTTGATCTTGTGTAGTTACATTTAGGTACTAACTTTCTTACATATTTGGGTCAATTTGTAGTCATTACATTTCTAGTTGCAAATTAATATACTTAAAATGACAGATCAATTAAAAAATCTTTTATCACGACGCGGCCAATTAAAAGGCAAATTAACCCGGTTTATAAAATTTGTAGATGATTTGACAGTTGACACAAATCTGACAGAATTAACATTACGATTAAGAAAAAATGAGGATATATGGGAAAAGTTCGACAATATTCAATCGTTAATAGAGGTAAATTACGTGGAAAATGTAGACATTCAGACAATAGAGCGCCAATCATTTGAAGACAAATATTTTTCAGTAATGTCAAAAGCCGAAGAAATTATAAATCGTGTTTCAAATAAAATTCCCATTAGTTCAACCGTTACGAGTTCAACGGCAGCGGCAGGTAATGATTAGTTTACCATGAACTTACCCACAATTAATTTGCCAGTATTCAGTGGCACTTACGAAGAGTGGTTGCAATTTTATGAAATATTTAAGTCACTGGTACACGATAACAAAAGATTATCAGGGATATAAAAATTCTTTTATCTCCAGTCATGCTTAAAAGGAGACGCGGCTAAAATATTACAATCCTTAGAGATATGCGAAACCAATTACGACGTGGCATTACAAATGTTGAGAGATAGGTACGAAAATGACCGAATCTTGATTCATAATCAGGTAAGAAACATATTTGAACTGCCGTGTGTAGTAAAAGAATCGCATCATTTATTAAGAAGGGCATTAGACAGCATTACAAAAGATTTACGCGCGCTAAAAACATTAGGCGAGCCAACAGACTCTTGGGACACCTTATTAATATACATAATAACCCGGAAATTAGACATAAACACGCGTCGCGAATGGGAAACCTTATCGAAATCTAAAAAATCGCCGAAATTCGAAGAATTAATGTCGTTCTTGACAAATAAATGTCAAATATTGGAAGCAAGGGAAACAAAAATCCTATCGAATAATAAATTCATTTCAAAAGGCCAAGAAAAACAATTCGTACATGTATCAACTAATCAGGATAATAAATATCCAATAAATTGTGACCTTTGCAAAGACAATAATCATTTTACGTTTCAATGCCAGAAGCTGTTAGCTTTACCAATGAAATTGCGTTATTTAGAAGTAAAGAAAGCGGGTATTTGTACAAATTGTTTAAAACCCGGACACGATTCAAAGAAATGTACCGGCCGAAATTGCAAGATTTGCCGCAAGCATCACAATACCATATTGCATGATTATAATTTTCAATTAAACACACCCACAAATAATGACGCATTAAATAATTATCAAACCACAGAACGCTCAGCAAATAAATCAAACAGACAATCGAATACAACTCAAAGTCAAATACAGAGGGATCAAAACGGTAGTAGTCAAATTGAGTCAGAGACATCGGACCATGCACTTACTATTACTTTAGCTTCACACCCAAAGAGTCAAAACACTACTCAAGTTTTACTAGCCACCGCAATAGTTTGTCACAGATACGAACAACCAACAAATAAAATGTCGTGCATTGTTGGATGCAGCAAGTCAATCGAACTTCTGTACTTTAGATTTATTCAGACGGCTCAAAATACAAGGTATTCGTATTGACATGGATATTGTTGGTATCAGCAACACTTGTAATATTTCATACCAAATTAAAACACAAATGCAATCAAGTAACGGATCTTGTAAATTGTCATTACCATTCTTAGTCACTGATCAAATTACAGGCAATTTACCGCAAGCTTTATCCGATAAAATAAATACTAGCGTGTCAATCATATAATAAAATTAAAAGTAAATACGTTTTAATAAGTGAATAAATCGGCGAGTCTTAGCGCGCTCGTTTCAGTTGTGGGAAACGTTTACCTTATAGATCGAGACCGCGTGTGGATGAATGCATCGTATTACGGCTTGCGTTGTTATACGTTGATATACAGGGTGGTCCAAATTTTATGCAGGAAACTTCGAGGGCAGATAGATCTCTTTAAAATAATATGTGTTTGCCTTATAAACATAGGTCTGGAACGACACCGTTTTAGAGATACAGGGTGTTGAAGTTGTCAAAAAAAATAGATTTTTTGTTTATATCTCCGGAATCTATTAACCGATCTCAATAAAATTTGGTACATATAATGTATGATAGTAGACCTGATATTACCTGAAATATGAGCTTTAAAGGTTCAACCAGTGGTGTACAACTGGTCAGGGGTCACCCCCTTTTTACAAAAAAACCTACGCCACTGCATTTTTTACATGTCATTGTAACTGATTTATATTTTAATGCACAAAATACGTAAAAAAGGTGACTTTAATTTTTTCCCTAAGATTCGCCGTTCTCAAGTTATTCATACCAATACAATCCCCTTGTGGCAGACACTTCTAACGATAATATTACAAGAATATTTGTTTATGCTTAAAAGTAAGTGCATATCAACAAAATTATTTACGCTCCTTTCTACACTACCTGTGAGGTAGTGTGCGATATAAACAAAAAATCATTTTTTTTAAACCTCAACACCCTGTATCGCCAGAAATATCGCCATATAAAATGGAGTCGGAGTTGGCAGACATATGCAAATATCTAAAAATGAAGAACAGTTATAAAAATCGGTTTAATGTTAAACAAAAATGGAAACGTTTACAGGTGAGACAAGTAAGTAAGAAATTTGCATGTTCAACTCACTTCTACAAATGACAATGATTTCGTTCCGATGACAGATGTTACACCTATAGTCTCAAATAAAATTAATATAATTTCAAATTATGTTATTCCCGATCACTTAAAATTAAACCTGCCCTTCTCTATCACGCCCTTATCTGATACAAGTCAAAATATCACAGAGTTAGAATCTGAAAAAAACATTTCCCAAGCGAGTAAGTCAGAAAGCGTCTTCTACGGACTACGAATTTCTTCCAGAAACCATCACCAAGTTACAAACAAATGTCATAATATCCTCCACTTTGCCGAAGAACGCGAAGAACCTTAAATTGAATACTTGGATTAGGCCAAAATATAACCTTTGTAAATATCTAGAAGGATCATTCGTTGTACAACATAATGAATATCTAGATATTTCAAGCGGCACGAAATTGCTTCCAGGTAAATGGACCTATTTTTTTTCGGAAAAAATCAAACAAGTTAATAATGTCTGTGTTTTCAATTTTGAACATCCTAGGTATATTCGTTCAAAGGATATTATTAAAATTTATGGCTACTGTTCCCACCCCTGTAAAGTCTTCATTCTTCACATTTCCGATATATCCAAAAATAAAAATCACAGTGTAACTTTATTCAGCTCTTCCTTGGACTATAATCACCCGGGGAAACTTACAAGGTACTTAAAAGGAGACGAAAGAATTTTATTTAAAAATAATATAAAAAACATGAAACCGTCGAAATTAAGGGAATTATCTGTAAAGCAAGCCTCTAGAAAACTTATAAAAGAAGGTAATCTTCAGAACATCAAATCCGATCCGTTTTGCGCAAAGTTAGATCTGAAAAATTAGCCCAGTTGGACCGTCATAAAGATGACATTTTAGATCTAATTCTGATGCAACGCGAAAATATTTCATATATTAAACTTGTGGGTCAACCTATGCGAGTATTTGTATTTAGCGACGAGCAATTGGATGTATTAATGCGAAGTCTGAAATATGGAGAAGTAACTCTACATGTTGATGCAACTGGTACAATCATTCGAAGACCAGATCTATGTACCAAAAAAATATTTTATTATGCTGCTGTAACTAATCTTGATAAAGAACAAATAATTTTCCCAATATTAGAGATGATAACTTGTGATCATGATTCTGCCACAATCGGTTCTTGGTTGTCGGCATTCAAAGCGTTTGTTTTATTGAAAAAGCATAAATGGCCGGTATTTAATCACGTAGTCTGCGACTTTAGCTTTGCTTTCTTAAACGCAATTTTAATTTTTTGGAACAATATGGACATCGTTGCTTATTTAAAAGAAACATACGAAATATTAACACTTCGAAATAATACTAAGACATTCAAAAATATTATTATCGTTCACATATTTTTTTAAAATCATATCCACAGATATAAGAAAACATATAACCCATAAAATATACTCGTTTTCTATAAAGAGATAATGGCTTCGGCCTTTAATATAACCGATTTTAAGATTATGTCTTCCTGGTTTTACCATTTGACTATCTTGTTGACATCAAAATTCCACAACGATAATGTAGAAGCATCACTGAAGAGTATATTAAAAATATCCGTTGGGAACGAAACGGATGAGCTACTGCAGGAAATTGACAACTTACCTTCCGAAATGAAAAATGATGATGATGGTTTAATATTTTCCAGCAGTCCATATTATATATATTTCAAAAAGATACACGATGAGGTGCAAAACGATCAGGACATTCAACAATCATCGGAGAAAAATAAATATTATAATATTTAATTTTTTTATTTAGTCTTGAAAAAGTATATTCCTTATTTGCCGATGTGGAGTGTATTACTCTTGCAATCTCCAGAATTTAAGCGTAAGAGCAATGCAAACATCGAAAATTGGTTCCATATTGTCAAAGACTATATTCTCGTGAATCAAAAAAATCAGAAGGCAAGTAGGGTAATTCGGGAAATAAGAAGACGGGTACTATCCATGTATAAAGAAGTCATTTTGGATATACCAAAATCTAACTGTTCGCGGAAAAGGAAACGACCATCGAAAATCAATACAATTATTAATGAAAGTACAAATTTATTGACAGCCCAAGAAAGTTGGAACAAAAAGATTACCTCCCCCAACTACAATTTTAAAGGGAAACTATTAAAACAGACCCTACAATCTATAAGTGCAAAGTCCACCAGTTTAAAAACAGATTTGCAGGCAAAATGTCAAAAATGGATACATGACATCAAACTGAATCACAACGAAATTACGCTTTTGGCCGCAAAAACAATAGACCAATGCAGAAGTCAGTTGTGGCACGAAGAAAGGCGAAAAAAACTCACTGCCTCGAACTTTGGATCTATCTGCAAATCAAAAAGTAATATTTCTCTGGGAAAAAATGTTGAAAAAATATTATATAAATCCAATTTTCAATGTGCGGCTCCTGAATATGGAGTAAAAAATGAAGTGGTTGCTCTGGACGCTTACTGCAAACAGTATCCACATATTATTGTATCCCGGAGTGGCTTAGTAGTGGATGAAATATTACCCTTCCTAGCGTGTTCTCCCGATGCACTGGCCGACCAGGATGGCATAATAGAAATAAATGTCCATTTAGCATAAGATCTTTAAACCCCACGGAAGCGATTTCAAAAAATATGCTAGACCATTTAGTAGAATTTTATCTATTCTATTTATTGCCAGAAATGGTTGAGCCAGTGCATCCTCATCCTATAGAGAGGCGTAAATGGAATAGTAGCGGAATTATAGATCCCAAATTGGCTGAACCTGACTCAAAAACGTTGGT